GCATGGCAGCCTGTGCGCGAACGACGGTCCCCTGCGCTGGGCGCACGGCCACCCCAGACTCCCTCCGGGAGCAGCCCGCGGGCCCGCCCCGCTTAGCAGGTGACTTTATTCACTGCTTCCTGTGTCCTCGAGGTCCGGGACTCGTTTGCCGCCTGGAGATTAAGATCATTGCTCGCGAAATGAATGTAATGCTTTAGGGTAGAGGTGAGTGTGTCTGCAAGTGGGCAGAGGTAGGAATTACCGGCTCGATCGATGGACGACTGGCTTAAAACTAAATCCCATCTCTCCAGGGCTTCGCCGTCCGCCTTTCCCCGTGGTGGGCAGGGCGCGCCAGGCGGGCGGGCGGCGGTGCGCGGACCGAGCGACCCCCGGGGTGCCCCCAGCCGGAACCAAGGCCCTAAAAATGCCCCCAACCTCCCCACCGAAACCCCCGGGGTACCCGATTTCAAAGGCAAAACTCTAAAGCTGGAACGTGGGCGAACTGATTGTTGGAGGGGCTGATTTGCCTTTCCGCTCCGCCTCGGGAGAAAATACTTCAGAAGCGTGGGCGGGCAGGTCGGCTCGAGGGGGAAGCCTCCTCTTAGACACCCCCCTCCACGCAGCATTCCTCTCCGGACCCCGGGGCCTCACCCCTTCCCGTCCTCCTCCTCCTCCTCCTGGCTCTATCGCGGACCCTGACGTCTCCAGCTCCGTAGCCACCCTGAGTGCTATGGGCCACTTCACAGTCCAAAGGTACCAGGTGATCACGGGCGAGGGGAGCGAGAAAGGGGGCGATGGCCGGGGGGGGCGCAAGGGGAGGGGAGGCAGGGCCCCCACCACCCAATTCCACCAGCTGCAACCGGCGTCAAGCTCTGCCATCGTCGCATCAACAAGTCCTCTTTTTCTGCCACCTCCAGGGCCGAGGGCCGACCAGGAGCCGAGAGGCTTGGAAAGTTTGCAGACGCTTCAGAGTGGTCTTCAGGTCCCAAGCCTGAAGGATGGGTGTGCTGCCCGGTACTAAGCTCTCCGCGTCCCGGAGAGCTGCACCTGCGGCCCACCTGGCGGACCCTGCCCAGGTGCCCGGGGCTCCCTGTCCCCCAACGCGCTGCGCGCCCGACGCGCGCTCCCGACCGCGCTCCTGCAGCCTCAGGTCCCAACCCGACCGTGTCCATCACTCGTCCGCCGCAAAGGATCTGAGAAGGTCTGAAGAAAGGAGAGCCCAAGCCCCCGCCCCCAAGGGGGACCAGAAGACGACAACCTTCTGCTCTGGCCTAGGGTCACCCTGTGCCCCGAGACGAAGACGGCAGCCGCTTAGATCAGACTTTTGGGGGTTGGCTTGGGCGGAGGTGGGGGTGGGGGGAGTGGAGCGGGTGGGCAGCTAACCAAGGCGCGCAGCCCTTCCCATGGGCTCGGGCGCTG